CTGCCGTGTTAATAGTCATCCTTACATCCTTATATCCAGACAATAGCAGTCTTAGTTTTTTCCAGGGCAGCCTCCTCCTTTGCTGGTGCTCATCTTTGTAGAGCCAGGGCCTACCGTCATGCTTTGCGCCTCCTAGATATTTTTGGTTCTCTTGAAATGAATCCAAAGACAAACCTCCTGAGGCAAACCAGGTAAGTCCTCTGACCTGAAATTCAAGGTCAGAGAGAATGTTTGAAACAGACTGCTTGTGTCATTAAAAAAAATCTGAATGCAGGCGGCTCAGGCGGAGGTGCCCTTCAGATTGTTCTAGGAAGGTTGTGCGAGGTTGGGGGAGCTTGGATTTTGTGAAGTGAGAGTTTTCTGCATATTCAAGGCTTGGACTTATCTTTCCAGGGTTACTCTGACCTGATCAGAAACCCATATGTTTGTTGGCCACCATTTTATGAATACAAACCAGCACATAGCCCCGCATACTGGAATTTTCTTATTTATGTCTATTATTTGAGGCATGTAAAACACCAATAACATTTTAAAGGCAGGTACAGGTTATAGGCAGGGAGTCAGCTGCCACAAGGGACCATTGCTTGACTTTAGAAAGTTTCTGACACTCTAAGGCCTGGCAGCCGTGGCCAGTTTCTTGCTGAGGGTATCCAGCAGCTGCTGTAGACTAGCTGATATTTCCAGTGAAAGAGCTGGAGTCTGAAACAGGCAAAAGCAGCGGTCTAGGCTGAGATTGTACATGCCTGCAGAGACTAAAGATTTCAGGGCCAAGAAGTCTGCTGTCCTGAGTTGGAGACACAGACCCAGAAGAAGGTGGCCATTTCTAGACCTACAATGGCAGGACAGGGATAAATTGTTGAATTTCATCATAGTCTTCGTATGTGACATCTGTCCAGAAGTCCACAAAAGCAGCTACATGAATGGGTAGAAGAGCGTGCCTGCTCTAAGAGGCAGCATTAACCTCCTCATGGGGCAGGAAGCCTCCGCAGAGCTTGTGTTCTACGTGACAGGCATTACAAGGACTCAGTACGTGTCCAAAGAGAGCATCTTCTAACTTATTATTTCTTAGAGACTTAGTGAGTTTGTTGTTTATGTTCCTATGTGTTCAGGTCAAGCACCATAAGTCAATTCTTTGAAGAAGAGATTAATTTTCTTCTCGGTAAAGGCATTGTCTGTGTACAGGTAGTAAATAGTTCTTTGCGACTTGTGTCGCGACTGCCTTAGAGCAGCCCGCTCTTACTCTGGGCCAGAGCAGCAAACACTAGTATTAGGTGGTAGACTCAGGAGCTTGTTGGTCATCCTCATGAAAAAGGAAAAAAAAATGTTAAAGGTGTGTCCTTAGTGACATTTTATCTTATTTTTAGATGAGACAATGTTGATAATTGGTAACAAGCTGTGTGAGTTTCCAGATCTGGCTTGGGTTTTAACTCTAAATTCAACCCCTAGCTTTGAATCTGAGGATTCCTGTGAATCCCTCATCTGTGAAACAGTGGTAATGACAACTGATTTACTCCACTGAGCCTGTGGGACGAGAGGAGCCAACAATATGCTTCTTAGTCAAGTTCCTAGGACATTGTGAATACCCAAGGCCCGGTAGTCACGGTAGTAAGCTTGGTAATGATTTCTATTTATATGGGGGAATCAAATACTTAAAATTATAATATGAAAATACTTTTAAAATTTTAGAAAGCTTTGTATTTAAAAAGGAACCAAGAATATTTTGGAGGCAACTCTTAGTATGTTCTCAGGCATTAAAAGAAAAAATCCTTTTAATTAAATTTACCCTTCAAGAACCTAGCCAAATAAATTGGAATTGTGCCCTTATACACTCCTGTTCTTTCTCCTTCAGGAAATTGCACTGCCAATCCATGTATGTGAAGTCCTTCTCTGTTCCAGCCCCACTCTTGTAACCCATGTGGTACCACTGGAGAGCTAGGGATTCCATTCTTACTATTCTGAGTGTAACCCCGGGTTCCTCCAGGCCCACTCTCATCCCTCAGGCTCTGAGCTGGCAGCTCCTATTGTTCATGGGTCTTAGAGGTCCCCACACACCTCAGTCGCCATGACTGAAGCTGGAGACATTTTATGAACTCGTGTCTGATACAGAGCTGAAGAGGTACCGAAGAGAGTTTTTAGCTAAAACAAAGCAAAAAAAAAAATCAAATAGAACCTGCCATCAAACTTATGATTACAGAAACAGTATTTATAGGTATAGTTAACTGACTTTTATTAAAGTGTTTGTATTAAAACCAGCAAATAAAACATTTGTCAGTTCTCTCACAGTGGACATGGCTAATGACCCTGAGAGCAGGTGCCCAGTCACTTTATTGTTTGGCACTGTGCAGCCCATCAAGTAATTTTAATTAAGGCTTTTTTTCCATATCTAGATTACTTCCATTTACCGACCAAATGCTTTGTAAATGCCAAGTAGAACGTAGTATGTATCATTCACTTGGATTCTAATCTTTATGAGGTCATATACAACAGCTCAAATTTAATTTTATACACATCAAAAATAATTAGAAATGGGGGCTGGAGAGATGGCTCAGTGGTTAGGAGCACTTGCTGGTCTTTTAGAGGACCCAAGTTCAGTTCCCAGCACTTGCACAGGAGGCTCACAACCAGTTGTAACTCTTGCTTCAGAGACTCCAACATCCTGGCTTCCTCAGGTGCCTGCACTCGTGTTCCTCCTCACACGCAGACACATACACTCGACCATAATTCAGAGCAATAAAAGATGCATGAAACAGAAAGCCAACACTTGTGTGATACTCCCATTTACAGGGCGTCTTTGTATATATTATCTTGCAGGTTAATATCACTGTAAGGTGAAGAGGACAAACGTTTTCTTCCTTTTACAGGAGAAAAGATCTGAAGAGACTAAGAAATGCTTAAAATTGACAGCTCCACCATTTATGACCTCAATCCAGCCACTTAATCACACCATGCAATTCCCTGAACAGTGAAACAGAATTGAAAACAGTCCCTCCTTCATAGGCCAGGAAGATGGACCGGTGCATGAGCACAAAGTCATTATCAGTGCATGGTTTACTGTCAGCAGTCGTGGGCACACAGCTAGTGAGTGTGAGGAACTACCCCCAGATCCAGGTCTGCTGACTCCTGACCCAGACTTTTCAACTTTCCAGTGATCAATAGACAAGATGGTCATAAAGGGACTTCTCCTTTAATAAGAAAAAAAATGCTGGAGAAATGTTTAGACCTCCCAGCACAGTGAAATAAATGTTTGAGGCACTAATTATAAGAATTGGGTCACTATGCTTTATGTTCATGTATCAAATTATCATCATGTGGAGCCACAAATTTGTATAATTATTGCATGTCAATTTAAAATTATGTTGCAAGATAAAGGCCCATGCTTGTCTTCCCAACTCTCCAGAAACTAAAATAGGAAGATGTCGAGTTTGAAGCTAACCAGGGTTACACAACCAGTTCTTGGCCTGCCTGGACTAGTCAGACCCTGTCTCAACAGGGAAACCACACATACCATTAAAAAAAGAAAAATGAAACAGTCCCACCCCCAGCTATGTCCATGGAAATCCCTTCCATTAATATTGATATTTGCTGGTCAAAGTGAAGATAATAAGTGGCCATATCCACTGCCCGTAGGTGGGACCTCTATATCCAAATCTTCTCCCTCCCCACCCAGGGCTCAGAGAGCATCTCTCCAGGAAGACAAGGCTGTAAGAATGTAATTCAGGAGGGCGGAGAGGAGTGCTGTGAAATGCTGCCTTGGGATGTGACGTGGCCATGACACTCCTGAACTTACCACAGCGCTGGGTACCGGCACATCAACACAGGCACATCCCTCGCCGAGGAGCTGTTAACAGTTGATAGCTCTTTAGGGGTGTAGCCAGTGGTAGTTTGTTTATGCTCTAGTGGATGACCTCACACCTGTACACATGTGGGCAGGCCTAACTGGACTCCATGGAGGAGGAGGGAGCATAAACTGGTGGGGGAGAGTTGGAGGGAAGAGAGGAAGGTGAGTGCAATTAAAACACATTGTATACAAGTATACAAAGAATAAACTTAAAAATCTTTAAAAGCTTTAAGGAAAAAAAACATTGACACCTGGAGATTGTAATTCTGCCAGTAGAATATTCCTTGGGGAAACAGCAGCAATAGCATATGAATACACATCAGCCTGTTGGGCTCTTTACAAAGCAGCTTTGGGGAGCTCTAATTCACATATATATGTATTTCATCAATTTAATATGTGTTACTCAATAACTTTTTATATATCCATAGACTTGTATAACCATCAGTCACTAGGATCAATCTTAGAAAAATCTTTATCTCGAAAAGAAACTGTATTCCCTCTGCCTTCTAGTTAAAGGAAGCCATTATCTGTTTTTTGCATTTTTGTTTGTTTGTTTGTTGTTGTCTTGATTTGCTCTTCTGGCTCCTTTCACTTAGCACAGTATTTCAGGACCCACCCCTGCTGTACATGAGTCAAAGCTCTTGCTTGATGGATGGAAATGATGCTTATTTCCTGGCTGCTATTTGTAGTTTGCATCATTTGGAGTCTACCTGTCTTCATTAGTGAGGGCGAGACCTATTTTGTGGAAATTCTGCAGAGGTGATTGAACTTGCTTCCTTGAGTAGCTATGACAATTAAACAGTGATATCAGAGCAGCCAGTTATCACAGCAGCGTGTGATTCAATTAAGCAAGATAATTGTGTGTGTGTGTTAAACTTAGTGCCTAGCACAAGGGGTTCTCAAGTCCATTTGCGCCATTTGAATATCCAGGATTTATTAAGAATGTATTAACAGTGAAGCAATAGATTTCTTAATCTGTAGCCCAGACTAGTCTGTAACTCCTTGTTAACTCCGGTTAGCACTACATGGCAAGCCTCCCGCCTCAGCCTCCTGAACACTAGAATTACAGGAGTGAGCCTCCACACCTGCTACAGATATTTTCACTACTGCTTCGAGGCTGAAGTGCTGATCTCTTCCATCCTTTTGTTTTGCTCTCCCCAAGGCTATGCCTTCCTGCTGTTCCAGGAAGAAAGCTCAGTGCAAGCTTTGATAGATGCCTGCCTAGAAGAGGATGGGAAGCTGTACCTGTGTGTGTCCAGCCCCACCATCAAGGATAAGCCGGTAAGTGATGTGTACCAGCTGCTGCTTTCCCAGAGCACATATGCAGATGACTAGTTCTTCCTCCTCCTTATCGTGGAAATGCTGCAATTAGGAGCCTCTTACCTGAGCTAACCTTGCTGTGTAGAGCTAGGACTGTTGCTAGTGATGAGAAGTTAATTAAAAAGTACTCAAATTTCATCTTACACTTTTGGGACCACAGGTAAACAAATGTGTCCTTGACACCCACTTACAACTTGGTAAGCTGACTCCTAGTTGGAAAACCTGAGTTGAGGTGAGCAGTGCTCTTAGAGGTTCTGGCAGCTCTTTTCTGTCATTATTTCAGATCAAGGACAGGAGGAATTTCCTTTTTGAAGTATCATAAGTGGTCATGTGTATATGTCCTTGAATGTAAGTCTTTATGCTGGGTTGTATCCACAGCCACCCGGTGGGTAGGCCAGCAGGTCACACTCTAAATGGACAGTTTCAGCAGGACAGGAGAAGGGCTGGACAGAGAGCATGGCACTGAAACTCTGAACAAATGGGTGGGATAAGTTTGTATGTAAAGGCTTGGTCCTTGGAGTGGGAAGCAGTAAAATATAGTGATGTGGAATGGGCAAGGGGCTGAAACTGTATCTAGGGCCTAGAGCAGCCACCAAACACTCTCATCAGAGATACTGGGGCTCACTTGGTTGGCTAAGTATATATAGTTGTTTGTTTTTTGGTTTTTTGGTTTTTCAAGGCAGGGTTTCTCTATAACTTTGGAACCTGTCCTGGAACTAGGTCTTGTAGACGAGGTTGGCCTCGAACTCACAGATATCCACCTGCCTCTGCCTCCCCCCCGAGTGCTGGGATTAAAGGTGTGTGCCACCACTGCCTGACTGCTAAGTATATTCTTAGAATGTGTCTGCAAAGAGTTGGGTTAGCTGTAGAAATTCCGAGCATGAGTCTTAACTTTAATATTTAAATATCTGCTTGATTCCCAGTAAGCCATGCTGTCCTTGGTAAATCATGGTTTTCCCAACTGCAAAATGGGACAGTCATTCTTCCCTGGGTTGCTGAAAAAATAAAATTAATGTAGAGCCACTGAATAGAGAGTGGGTACTTGTGCAGATAAAACTCTCTACTGCTGTCTGACTTGCATGGTGCCATAATTCAGGACAGCATGGCCAGAGTTCAGCTATGCAGCCACACCTGCTGGGTTCCTGACTTGCAGAAGAATGCCACTGGGACTTGGTCACCTATAAGGAGGGGAATTAGTATGTAAGTAGAAGAGGAAATTACTACGGATGGGGTTATTGAGTCATGGCAGAAAGGTCAATACAGAAAAAAGAAGTAAGGATTTTAGCCATTATGAAAGTATCACTGTAAGTTCTGGGACTATTGCCAAATTTTGGTAGCAACAATGACAATGCTGAGTACTGTGGCTGTATAGGTTGGGCAACAGTGGGTGGGGAACCTTTGTTAACTTTGAGCTTTATTTAAAAAGTGTGTGCATGGTGAGGGAGACATGGGGACTTACTGATAGGAAGAGCATGTAATGCATCACCTGAATAATAAACCTAAAATTACTTAAGTCCTTTCGAGTCCTCTCAGATTAGGAAGTCTCTACCAAATTTGACAATTTGTCTGCAGAGATGTCCTGCCCCTGACAGTCAGTGAAAAGTTGGTGAGCATGAACTAGGAAAGGTTATGGTAGGAGAGGATTAGAAGACATTTTATATGTAAAAAGGCAAATGGATAGGTACATGACAACATAATCATGTCCACAATAGAGAACGAACGGTAGAATTGAGATGAGGAGATGAGATGGGCTCTGTAGGGAAAGGGAGGAGATGGCGTCTGGTAGGAGGGCCCTCACCTGGACAAGGTGTCTCTTGAGAGGGGAGCAAACTGGTGGTTGCAAGCATAGGTGAGTGGAGGTAGCACCATTGCTCTCGTGTTTGCGCTCTAAGCACAAGCATTGCTCTGGACTTTAGGGACTCCAAACGTATTAGTGTAATCTTCTCTGCTGGAAACTAGCTTCCCTTCACCTACCTGATCGCAGTCTGCCTTTTCAGAGCTGGAGAAGTTGATTTTACTGCAGAGTGATAAATTCTGATGGTAACTAAAAAATACATGTTTCTTTGACCCAGACATACTCAGGGTTTCCAGCATTAATAGTTTGATTAAAACGTAAAGAGAAAAACCCTTCCTGATGGTATCTCTAATTCGAAGGAAGTACATTTCATGTTGGGGTCCAGTCTTTTGTCTCCAGGTTTGCAGCCTCTTTTCTTGGCATTAGGTTTCCCTCCACTGTTCCCAGCTTCATTTAGTCGTGCCTCTCCACTGGTTCGTGCACATCCCAGCTCATGCGGATGCCCCACAGAAAGTGACCGCTAGAGTCAACCTTCCAGTCGATGAGGACCCGGGAAACAGAAGCTCGGTCTCCGGAGCTCATGCACCAGGCTTTCTCAGCATGGTTCCTCTTTGTTCCATGTCTTAGGCTAGCTAGTGTTCATACTCTTCCCTTCAGGATCCCAGTGCCCTGGCAGTCTCTTTGTAGTTCCCTTGGAAATATATCGGGTTCCAAAAGTTACTGTGAAGATTTTTCTACCCTTTGTCCTTATTTATTCCTCTTCCTCAGATCAAACCCCTCTTCCGGTTAAGTGGATCCAGTTATTCAGATTTTTTTTCCCCAGTGCAGGGCCCAAAGTGAAGTCTGCTCTAAGCTATCCTGTTCAGGATTGTGCTTCTCTCTAAATCAAGCAGATCCCAAACTAATGGGTTTTAGGATATTAGATAGGTGGTTTTGTTTGGTGTTTTCCTTCTATTAAATGATTCACATGGATTGTTCTCTGTATGACTTTGATCCTGAAAGATGGCAGAGAGAACTCTGTTTGTTGCCTGATTATTCTGACTCTTTATTCCCAAAGGAAGGAAGGAAGAAAGGGTGTCGCTTCGAGATCTGTGACTCCCTTTCTTCCTGCAGAGAGAGGAGCTCCACCATTCATCAGTCCCAGACACCCCAGCAGAAGACAGTTGTTGCAGAATATTTGTTTACACTGTAAAGATGTGCCTTAGGCATAAGGCACCCTCTGATTGGTTTTAATAAAGAGCCAAATGGCCAATAGCTAGGCAGGAAAGAATAGATGGAGCTTCCGGACAGAGAGAGAGAAATTGGAAGAAGGAATCTAGGTGCATGGATTCGCTAGAAACAGGAAGTGAGAGATAGAGGAGAGGTAGCTCCACATGGCAGAACGTAGTTTAAGTTGTAAGAGCGAGTTGAAAACAAGCTTAGGCTAAGGCGGAGCTTTCATAATTGACGTCTCCGTGTTGTGTGTCAGCCCAAAGGCCGCCTGCAGTGATGTCTGTTCTTCCAATCGAGTAGGTGGGTGTTGTGAACAGTGGCCCCTTCCAGGTAGGTGATAGACACCAAACTATAGAGCAGGAGACCTGGCTGGACCCCACAGAGCTAGATGGTGACTGGAGAGAAGGAAGGAGGCATTAAGTGAGCATCGACTTGTCTGGGCATGTCCTAGAATAGATTTGTAGACCAGTCTGAGCCCAGATTCAGAATGTGCCTGCCTCTGCCTCCCAAGTACTGGGACTAAAGTCGTGCGTCACCATGTCCAACAATGATCCTTGCTTCTAGAAGACTGGCCAGAGTTAATGGAACAGGAAACACCTTGAAAGGAATTTAACCTGTATTATCAAGCTGGCGTGTGTTTACGTAGGTTAGGTTTTTGGACTGTTGCTCAGGTAACATGACCATCCACTTAAAAATTGAAAAACAAAAATCGGTGGAAAAAAAATGATTGAGGCAGGGAAGCTGGAATTAGATGCTGCTTACTGTTTCAGTTGTTTTTTAAAATGGCTTTATAATTGGTTTCTGTGTGCATGTATATATGTCGGGGGTGGGCATGTGGAGGCCAGAGGACAACTGGACAACTTTGTTTGCCCTTCCCTGTACCATGCCGGTCCTTCCATGGGACTCAGGTCATCCAGGTGGTGTTCAGTGTCTCTACCTGCTAAGCTGTCTTACTGGCCCATGTTTCAGTTCCTAATTCTGTCCAGTCTGTCACTCCAGTCTCTCTTGACCTACTTTATGTGCCTGTCATGGGATTTCTAGCGTGTTTAGTCACTCTTTCTTAGTTACAGAGACAGCTTCCCAGTCAAGCTTCAGTTTTCCCCCAACCTTACCTCTTTTACTTTTTTTCTGACCTTCATATTTATTCATTTACTTTCCCTTTTTGTATGTGTATCTGTGGAGTGCATGCATGTATGTAGTATGTTTTAATATGTGTGTTTGCATACATGAAGAGATGTGAGATCAATATTGAACATCTTTCTTCATTGCTTTTCTACCTTTTTATTGGTTTTTTGATACAGGGTCTCTCTGTATAACAGCTCTGGCTGTCTTGGAACTCGCTGTTAGACCAGGCTGGCCTTGAACTCACAGAGATCTGCCTCCCTCTGCCTCCTGAGTGCTGGGATTAAAGGTGTGCGCCACCACTGCCTGGCTTTTTCCTACTTATTCTTTGAATCAGGACATCTCAGTCAAATCCAGTGCTCGATAACAAGGCTAGTCTTGCTAGCCAGCTTACTCGGGGTCCTCTGTCTCTACTTTGTGAGGCTGGAACTATGGGCAAGCTGGCATGCCAACCTGGGTTCTATCGACCTGAACACCAGTCCTCTTGATTATATGGCAAGCACTTTAACTTGCTCTCCCTCCCCGTTTACCCTCATGCTTTAATCAAACTGAAATATGTTTGCTTCTGTCTCAAGGACAAATTCCTACCCTTACTTCCAAACCTTTATCAAATGCTATGTGTTTTATGGGCTTTTTTTTTTTGATGATTTTACTCTCTAATTTATACCTAGTATAGCGATTATCAAAACAAATGAAAAGCAACCCCCCCCCAAAAAAATAAGACTGTTACTGGGCACCTGGATTGATAGTTTCATCTTTCTGCTCATGGCATGTCTACCAAGACATGTAATTCTCCACCCACTGCCTACTAAACCTTAACTTTAATTTTGAC